TAATTATTTGCTGTGAAAGAGACAAACATTGAATAACTGAACAAAGATGGTGCAATATCTTTGTTTTTTATGAGGCTCCTGAGAATAAAACCAACGGAAGCATTTCAATTCACTTGAATGAGAAACGTGTTTAATTAACGAGCCCCAGAAGACACTGGTATGAAAGGTAAAATCTCAGAGGTTGGTCAGTTAATGTGGCACACTTGCTGGTCACTTTGTAAAATGTAGATTTGGAGTACAGTGGTGAAAACATTAAATGTGACATTTGAAACCGCAGTGGTGGCCTTGTTATTTCCTGCTGATCCCCCACCTGCATTTGGGAGTAGATTGTTACAGTCATGAGTAACAACACAGGTAAAAAGACTCTGTGACATCACGGTTCGGGCACGGTGCTGACTTTGACACGCAGGTGTGCACACCGTGTAGGTGTCAAAGTCAGCACCGTGTAGGTGTCAAAGTCAGCACCGTGTAGGTGTCAAAGTCAACACCGTGTAGGTGTCAAAGTCAGCACCGTGTAGGTGTCAAAGTCAGCACCGTGTAGGTGTGCACATGGCTTGTGACGGGACTCACCTGCTGCCTCCGCCTGGTCCTGAGGGACGGCTGAACTTGCTCAGGTGTCGGTGCCGGCAGCGCTGCGATCCTGCTGCGGGAACCGGGGAAACCGGGAAAATGAGAACCGGGAAAATGGGAAACCGGGAAAATAGGAAAATGGAAACCGGGAAAATGGGAACCGGGAAAATGGGAACCGGGGGAGCCGGGGGGCGTGGCTGTGACTGAGGGGCGTGGCTGTGGTGGGTGTGGCTGTGACTGGAGGCGTGGCCCGGCGCCCATGGGCGTGTCCCTGTCCTCAAGGGGGCGGTCCCAGCAGTGGGCGTGTCCCGGCCATGGCGGCGGCTCCGCGGTGGCGGGAGCGGCTCTTCGCCCTTTACTTCCTCTCGCACATCCCGATCACGGCCCTGATCGACCTCCAGCCGCTGCTGCCCGCCGGGATCCCCCCGCGGGCCGTGAGTGGGGCCGGGGGGCCGCGCCGGGGCTCGTTCCGCGAACGCGCGCGGAGCATCCGCGGGTTTGGTGGGGCCGGGGGCGGCTTTGGCCGAAGCGCGTCTGTGGAGACGTGAGGGGGGAGAGGAACTGCGGTGAATGTGCGTGAGGGAGCGGCTGGGACACGGCGCGGCTGCTGCCCACGGGATGAATCACAGCCGGGTCATTCATTGGGAGGAGCGGGAAGGGGAACGCGAGCGGGAGCGGGGACGGGGCGCTGTGACCGCGCCGCTGCCCTGAGCTGTGCCCGGCTCGTGTCCCCATCCCGGGAGGCCCCGCTGAGCGGGCCGGGGGTCTCTGATCTCCCCGGGGAGCCGGCGCTGCGAATGTTCCTCCCCGCGGGTGGGCGGTGGGTGCTGCAGCTGCCGCCGCCCCGTCCTGTCCCCGCAGTGTCCCTGTCCCGCTGTCCCTCTGTGGGAGACAATCCTGTCATCCCTCCGGCCCTGTCCCCGCAGTGCCCCTGTCCCGCTGTCCCTCTGTGGGAGACAATCCTGTCATCCCTCCGGCCCTGTCCCCGCAGTGCCCCTGTCCCGCTGTCCCTCTGTGGGAGACAATCCTGTCATCCCTCCGGCCCTGTCCCCGCAGTGTCCCTGTCCCGCTGTCCCTCCGGGCTGGTGCCACGTGCCCCGGGCCTGGCTGCTGCTGGGCACTCTCTGATCCCGAGTTTCCTCTGATTCCTGCCAAAAACGTACGGGGGAGTTGTTGCCGCTGCAGCAGCAGGTATCCCAGCGACCGCATTTATTAGTTAAAATCTGTGGTTTGCTGGATTTTGAACAAAATAGTAGAAGACAATAAACATCATAAAGTTAATTGAAAGCACAGCTGTATGGCTGATAATTAGCTCAGCCCTCATCGTCAGGGTGAGGTCGGCTGTCACCTCCTCTTTGAGCCTCACAATTGGTGACGTGGTTTTTGCCATCAGAATGGCTGGAGAATTCCTCCAGTATAGGTACCACTTTCAATTAATAGTTAACCAGCAGATCCCAGTGCATATCTCCCTGTTCAAAGTCCAGCATAGAGCCATGCTGGAGTTTACATTTCTGTCGTGCAAACTGAACTGCAACTCCCTGAGCCCAAATCCTTGGATGGAGCTGTTCCAGGGCAGCAGCCGGGCTCCAGCCCTGGAGAAGGAGCCCCTAGAGCCCACTTGGCTGGGCAGGACCTGGGAGGGGGCTGGAGGCTCGCCCCTCAGTCAGACAGAGAGCCCCCCTGGGCTGGCACCAGCAGGGGCAGAGAGAGGAAAATCATAGCTACCAGTGTCAAGGAGCAGATTTTTGTGGTTTGGGTTTTTTCTGATAGGAAATCATAATTCAGGAGTAGTTTTTGGAAACTGTACTTAGTGCGGGAGTAATCCTAAAATTGCCTGTAGTGCAAATTTAATACAGACTTAATGCAAAGGGTTCATTGTTATAAACGTAGTCCCTGTTAAAACCACACTGCAGTGCAAATCCTCGTGTGCCAAGGTGGGATCACTGCGTTTTCCCACTGCACTGGTGGCTTCATCCAATTGAGAATCCCAGCCTTTGCCCTGCTGAGGTTGCTGTTCAGTGACAGAATGTGTTGTTTTGGTTTCCCTAAGCTGACAGACCTGTTGCAGCAATATGCAACTGCCTTCAGGGACCCCATGATGCTGCAGCCCCCGGAGTGGTTCAAGGCCTTCATCTACTGCGAAGCCTTTCTCCAGCTGCCGTTCTTCCCCATCGCCGCCTACGCCTTCCTGAAGGGTGGGTTTGAAACCAGAGGAGGGGCTTGTCCTGGGAGCTCTTCTGCATGACACCTGCTTTTGGAACAGCAGAGGTTTCTGATCAGTCTCCAGCAGTTTGAGGGACTACCCTGTGGAGGGCTGGGCTGTCACAGCCCTTACGACGAGTGTGCCATGAGAACTGGGCTACTCTCATAGCAGATTTTACCTGGGAAAGCAGCACAGGATAAAGTCTGTCAGACACAAAACCTTGTGACTACAGGCCCTTGTCAGGTGTAGCCATTTGTGTAACCAGCATCAGCATTTGCCATCTGGCACACTTCCCGGGCAGATAAAGGTCTGGGTCAAGCCTTTGTACTCGTTTTGTTACTTCAAAATTTTCAGGATCACCCCTTTGTTCTGAATTTCCATCAAGGGAGAGAAATTTCCTGGGTTCAACTAGTACTTAGGTTTTTTTGTGCTACCTATTCAGTCTGACTGGTGGCTGACCCTGGCAGAGAGGCAGCAGTCAATGTTCTGTTAAGTTAAAAGCCTCGGAATTCTGCTTGTTTCAAAAATACTTCAATACATTTTCCTTTTTGTTTCTGTGCAGGTGGTTGCAGGTGGATCAGGACTCCTGCCATTATCTACTCCACCCACGTAGCCACCACTCTGTTTGCTATCCTGGCCCATATCCTGTTCCACGACTTCTCCAAGTCCGAGCACGTGGGCCCTCAGACGCTGCGTGAGCGCCTCGTTCTGCTCTCTATATACCTGCCCTACCTGCTGATCCCCCTGCTGATCCTGTTCACCATGCTCTGCAACCCCCACTACAAACACGTGGAGAAGAGAAAAAGGAAGTAGCCCACCCTGGAAGTCTTACACACCACTCCTGTCCTGGATTTGGTTCCAACCCTGTGCTCAGAGTCCTCTGGGACAGACATCCCCCTCGCGTTGGCTGCAGCAGCTCCTACCAGAGCACTGGCTGCTGCAAGGAAAAATGGAATTGGTTTGAGTGCACAGCCCTGCTTCCACCACAGACAGCTCTGCCAGAGGCTGGGCCAGCAGCCCCCGGGGCCTCTCCAACAGGCAGATGGACTCGTAACCTTCCACGTGTAACTGTGAGGGGACACACTCACACTCTGCAGCTGGTATTGTTCTTCCAAGCTCCCTCTTTCCAAGATGACTGTTTGGAAACCACTTAAGTAGGAAATCTGTCTTCCAACAGCATATTCTGCAGACTCCCCAACTGATTACACCCAGATTTGCAAAGCTGTGCTTCTGAAACATTTCAAATCATATCCTGATTCTCAACTTCCTCACCCCTTCCTTTAAAATTTCCCTGCCTTTGCTTTGCTTCATTTTGATTAATTACAAATGTCTGATCAGTGGTAAATGTGCCAAAATCTGGATTTATGATACTTAAAGTTACCTTTGAAAATGAGAAATATTGGCTAGGGGATTTTGAAGTACTTCAGGAATTGTAAACAAGGAATTGCAAATTTCTCGCTTCCCTGAAATCATTTATAATATGGAAATAAATAACTACATGCAATAATCTGCATTTTATCTTTTTCAGGGAAAGCCTGAAAGGAACTTACAGTGACCATGATGACATGGTAGAGAGTTCACAGAGTAAATCTATGCATAAATTACAACAACTGAGAGAAATTCTGGGGTGGTTGGGGTTTTTTTCAATTGATCTGCAAGAACACTTGGAGGATGGTGAGATGTGACAGGGCCCTGTGAAGCTGCTCAGGTGCTGCCCTTGTATTTCAGGACTTCACTATGTAAAATGTAAGCCTTCCCCAGGCTTTGGAAAGAGCTACATTTCCATACTGGGTTCCCTGAAGACAGACACAAAACACATCTGTTTGCCCTTCAACAGGAGGCTTGAGTTCACATTTGTGTTTGTATAGTTATGTACTGCTGGTGTCACTGACACTTGGAATGGTTTCCATCCTAATAATGCCCATGAAAGAATTCAGCTCTCATATTATGGCATTCCTGAATGGACACTCCTCAGGAACAGTTCAAAGTTCTTAATTCTAAGGTAGTTTCTGCTTTTTTGTGTGTCTGTAATTGAGCATTCTGGAAATTATAAATTTCTGTGGTTTTTTCTAATTCTATAGAGAGTAATGTGGGCAATGTAGATCTAAGTTACTGCTGCTTGTGTGTGGTGTCTTTACAGACACAAAGAAAGTGGAAAACCACTGAGAGTGTCCAGGGAGTTGTAAACCTTTAAGCTGAAAAATAACAGAGCAGGAGGAACTACTTCTGGTACAGCCAGAAAGTCTGAGAACAATAATTTATTTCCCAATTTCTTTGAAAGAGCTGTAAAGTTCAAAAAGAGACACGACAGAGCACCAGTAGCATTAATTCAACTGTAATTTGAATTAGAACTACTGACTGTATAAAACTGGTATAAAATAAAGGCCAGAACAGTGTGTGCAGCTGTGAGCTGTCAGCCCTCCTTATTGCCACGGCTGGGACATTCACACCAAGGTAAAGCCCCTCCATTGCACAAACCATCTGCACTCCTGCACAGTGGAAATTGCATATTTCTGAAATTCTCAAGATTCTGGAATGGTCAAGTTTCCAAGTGAGCTGGTTTTTATCTTAAAATCCTCTATTTCTGGAAAATGAACTGGTCAATGAATTCATTCTGGTCCGCTTCGATTTTGCACAGAGTCTCGTACTCGATCCGGTACCTGCAAGAGAAAAATGGTCAAAGACCCCCAGCTGTGTGAGGGGGGTCAGTGCAGCCCCCCAAGCTGTGGGAGGGCAGCTGGGCTACCTGTGTGACCTGCCACTGTCAGCAGCCCGAGTCACACCGTGCAGCTCTCAAGGCCCTTCAGCAGCCAGACACAAGGCTGGTGTAGGTGTGCTGGGTTCTGCACTGCCCCACCTCCTGCTGCCCCCTTTGTTCAGCCCCAAAGGCCTCCGGGAGGAACCTGCTTTGGTTCATGCAGGGCCTGAAGGGAAGCCCAGGCCTCTGGCATTGTCCACACGCGCCCTGGGCAGGACGCACCTTCGCTGCAGGTGGGACTGTCTGAACCAACTGAGGGTCCCACAGGTGCTCAGCCCTGTGTCACCCTGAGCCTTCCCAGCCTGCACAACTCCCTGGAGCGCTGAGCACAAACCTCACCTTTCCAGCTGCATCTTTTTCTCGGCTATCAAAGCCTGGAGCTGCTGCTCCTGAGCCTCTCTCTGCTTTGCGATCGACTTCAGCAGGTTCCGTGCGCCGATGGCCTGGCAGCAGAGGGTTGGATGCGGTGAGGGGGTTTTGTTGATTTTTTTAGCCCCTTTCCCTCCCAGCAGGTCGATTCTGAGGTGATTCAGCCATGCCAGCAATAAGGGAGGGTGACACTGTGATCCTGAGGGGTTGGGCAGGGTGAGGCCTTTGGGGTGTCCCTCAGGAAGGAACAAAGTCACTGACTCCTCTGGACACACGACGAGGTCACTGGTCCAGACAAGCTCTGGCTACCAGAGGCTTCTTCTGCCTCTTGAGGACTAAGTTCTACCAGCAAAAGGAGCGATTGAAAAATACAGGTTCTGTTTATATGCAGAAATATTGACAAGCAGGAAGAGCAGCACTGTGACATGCAGGAGTAATGTGACAATGTCACAGGCTTCTAGACATTAATGTCCATTAAAAAGGCCCAGTTGGTCCCACGGAAATGCCAGTAGGATGCTGACAGGGAAACTGCTTCTGCTGTAAAGGGAGGGAGAATTGTTTTTTTCACACAGGGCAGGGCAGAGCTCATGAGAACCCAGGAACTAACTGCACAGTACCTTCATCTTCTCACTTTCTGCAGCTTTGGCCAGTTGGTCAACGAGCTCAATCAAGCTGCCCACTATTTTCTGAAATTCTTCTGTTTCTGCAAAGAAGATACCAGAGTATCTGCCAAGTGCAGAGCTGCAGAGCGGCCCTAAAGAGGAGCAACGCTCCTGCTTCGTGGTACAGCTTTTAGATGTTTATAGAGTTTACTGTAAACGGCCACGTTTTAAGATTTTCCTCAGAATCAGATAAAAGGGTAAGAAAAGAGGAAAGCCCTGGAGCGTGCGGGGGGCGGCCCGGGGGCCGTGCGGGACTCACTGTCCACGAAGGCCCGGCACTCCTCGCGGAGCTGCGCTGTCTGCGCCGCCACCTCGGGCTCCAGCACCCGCAGCTTGTTCAGCTCGTCGAAGTGCAGCCCTGCCGAGCCCAGCGCCGCCTGCGCCATCGGGCCGAGCGGGCCCTGCCAGAGCCCCGCGACGGCTCCGAGCACCGAGCGGGCCCTGAGAGAGCCCCGCGACGGCTCCGAGCACCGAGCGGGCCCTGCCAGAGCCCCGCGACGGCTCCGAGCACCGAGCGGGCCCTGCGAGGCCCGGCCCCGCCTCCGCCGCTCGGGGCCTGCCGGGAGGTGCCGGAGCTCTTCCGGGCCGGCGCTTCCCGGGGCGGGACGGGGCTCGGCCGGGCCGGTGCTGAGGGGCGGCCGTGGGGTGAGCGCGGGGCCGGGGCCGGGAGCGGGGCCGAATGCGGGACCGAATACGGGGCCGGGGCCGGGAGCGGGGCCGAATGCGGAGCCGAATGTGGGGCCGAATGTGGGGCCGAATACGAGGCCGGGGCCGGGAGCGGGGCCGAATGCGGGGCCGGATGCGGGGCCGGGAGCGGGGCCGAGCGGCCCTGCTGTGACCATCCCGGGGCCGGGGCCGCGTTGCTCCTTTCCCGGCGGGGCTGAGCGGGGCTGTTCCCTGTTCCCCCCTTGTCCCGCTGCCCCTGCCGCCTCCCCCGCGGGGCAGGAGGGCAGGGGCAGGAAGGAAGGACGTGGGGAATTCTCTGTCGTGTCAAAGCGGGTAATTAAAGGTCTCGCGGCTGTTTACAGCAAAGGCCCCACAGCTCCTTAGCAGACATCACTTGTAGCGTTTGCTTAATTGTAATAATGGATTAATTAATTAGAAACTGCAGAATAACGTTGTATTTTATGTCTAAGTTATGCAGTTCTTCCAATCTCGGGCAGTTTTAAGACACCATTGTAGCTGCCAAGTAATTCATTGTACTGATGGGTGGTTATGGGGCTTTTCTCTGTTGACAGCTGAGATGGGGTAAGAAAGAAGAGGGTTGCAGGAAGAATAGCAATGGAGTTAACAGGTGGTATATTTATTTTTAAAGGTCACTCGTGTCATAGGCACAGAACAGAGAGGGGGAAGTATTTGTAGTCTGAAAGAGTTTGAGAAAAACCAACAAAGAAAAAACAACAGAAAAAAAAAAGAAAAACAACAGCAAAAACTTTTTGAGAAAATAAGTACTTGAAGAAAGATAGGTAAGAAAGTTGTATTTGCACTTTTCTGGTTAGAGAACTTCAGGTTTGGCCTGGTAGAGTTTCATTCTTTTATTTGTTTACATTTTGAACTTATTGGGGATGAGAAGGTGAATGTGAGACCAGGAGAGGGAGAGGTGATGCCTGGCTGGCTGTTTGAGGCAGGTGTTCCAGAGAGTGGATGTACTTGGTGGGGAGTGGTGGTAATTTTTTTTTTTTCTTAAAACTACATTAACTGTTCAGGGTTCCAGGAGAGAGGAAGGAGAGTTTTGAATGAAAGGAGTTACCTGGAAATGGAATGTTAATGATCCAGCCTTTTGGTTTTGAGGCATTTGAGGAGTCATTTGTGTCTCCAGTTAAAAGTCAAACCAACATCAGCAAAGCCTGCTCAGGGAGGTGCACACACAGCCCAGCTGAAGGAGGGGCAGGAAGCTCTTCCAGTGTGTTTCAGCTCTGCCCAGAGAGTTGTGTTCTTTTGGGAAGCTGGGGGGGGATGGATTCCAGCACTGTTTAGGCCTGGCCTCGGGTGGTGTGTGGTGTTTGCAGTGCTGAAGAGGAAACTGCAGGAAGTCCAGGGAGTTTCAGCCACCTCAGAAATGCAGCACAGCCATAACCGGGCTGCCTTATGTCATGCGGGAATTGTCTGAAAAATGGCTCGACGTTGTTTTGTCACAGTGTGTGTGGCTGTGTCCTTGGGAACCTGCTGGCAGTGCCCCCCCCGTGTCAGTGCTGACTGCCCCTCTGTCCCCAGGTGATGAGCGCTCCGTGCCCGTCCCCGCCGGCAGACGCGTGAGCGCAGCACCACGGCGGGGCCCGCCCGGCCCACGCGCTGCAGGGTCGTCATCTACCTCCAGAAGGACATGTCTGGGGACACGTGCCTCGCCCTGTGCCCCAGCGCGGGGCCCAAGCCCAAGGCTGGCAGCTTCAAGGGGGGCAGCCTGGGCAACAAGTACGTGCGCCTGAACGTGGGCGGCTCCCTGTACTACACCACGGTGCAGGTGCTGACCAGGCACGACACCATGCTCAAGGCCATGTTCAGCGGCAGGATGGAAGTGCTCACGGACAAGGAAGGTGAGGTTGCTGTTCACAGTTTTGTGGAACAACTGGGTTTTGGTAGTTGTTTTTAAAATATCTTGACTACGCTCTGTTAAGAGTAGGGATATGTTCCAAAAATAACTTGGAACATTAGGCAGCCGGCTCCCATTGACGCTAGCAGTCCTCTGGCTTTGTAGGAACGTGCTCTTTTGTTACCAAAATTAACCAGGAAAGGACTAGGCCTGTTTCCTGCCCTCACGGTGTCTGAGCAGATTGTTGGTGGTGTTGTAAACACTGAACAGACAGTCTGTGGGTTGTCATTTCTGTCACATCGTGCAGTGGCATCACTGGAACTGCGCACGTGGGGAGGGACATGCAGTTTTCAGCTTTAGGGCTCAGAATAGCCTGGCTTGCTGTGTTGAAAATTCCTTTTTTCGTCCTGCCAGCAGCATGTTTCACCCGTGGCTCACGCTGCTGTGGCGGTGTTTAGGGTCAGCCAGGCAGTGTGTCACCTCTGTCACCTCTGGCTGGACTCAGGATATTGGCGTCACAAATCCCAGATACGTTACAGAGAGCAGAACAAGCAGTTTTGTATAAGAGCCTCAGCCCAAATGGAAAACGAAGGTCATATTCTCCAGTTGGAGCTGTGAGAATCCAGCAGGGGTTTAGCTTACTTTCCTAGGTTGTTTTCTGTACCTAGATCCCAAAATATCACTTTTTTTTCCGCTTTCCACATTATAGGAAAGGGTTTGGCACCGCATTAAGTCCTCTGCCTGCGTGCATCCTACGCTGCTATTGTTTGGCAGCAATCAGACATCCTGTTTCCTGGGGAATGTGACTTCAGGGATGTAAAATTGCAAGAACTGTCTGTCTGCTACTGTTTCCTGTGCTGCATCCCCTCTATGCTCCCTCCCGATGTGTCTGTCGTTTTCTCTGCTCCTCTTTGGGGACTAGAACAGCTTTTTTCCTACACTGAGTTTTCTGGGCTGGTCTACCTTTTAGCATCTTCAGAACACTTCTCTCTCTTGCACTCCAAAGAGCAGCAGCAGATGTGTTTGGAAAAGTGCCAAATCCTCATTGTTAGGCCACAGAACTTAAATCTACTTGATACAAACCTTTGTGAATTCTCTCTTCTGACTGTCCAGCATCACAGTGTAGCACTGCAGTTCGGTTCCTGCAGCAATCTTTGTGTCTTGTGCTGGAAGCTGAGTGTTTTTATCTCGAGGCTCTGCTTTTGGGATGCTGGAAAGCAATGGGAACATCCAGACAGTACCAAAGGGGTCCCACTGTCAGGTACTGTTCTGGAACAAGCTTCAGCTTGCTCAAAGTCAGTAGAGACTTGTACTGGGTGAAATGGGAGAAGTGTCCTTTGCAGTTTCAGGAAACCTCAGGCTTATTTAACCTCTCCAAGGAGCTTTTTCTTACCTCTGGGGTTGAGGTGACTGAAATGTGTTGGTTATTTTCCAGGCTGGATCCTCATAGACCGTTGTGGGAAGCACTTCGGAACAATTTTAAACTATCTGCGAGATGACACAATTGCACTTCCAAAACACAGGCAGGAGATCAAAGAGTTGATGGCAGAAGCCAAGTACTATCTCATCCAGGGCTTGGTGGACATGTGCCAAGCAGCCCTGCAGGTAAGGACGGAAGTAGCCTGTGAAGTTTTTTGTGGGTGATTTGCCTATAAAATTTACTCAAGATACCTTTAGAGATTATTTCATGGTCTAGATAATAACTGTAGGCAGAATGGGTTTGAGCCTCCAACTTTTTATTAAGGTTAGCCTGGAGACATATATATATATAACTTAGTCTTAAAACTGTGAAATGAATGTTTCTTGCAGGACAAAATTTAGTAATTACTGGGTGCCTCACATACTGGGTTCAACATACTGCTGGTATCACTGAAAGAAGTGCAAAGCCACACTGACAGTTTTCCTTCTGGTTTAGAATTTAAAATCTGGCTTCTACAAACAAAATGTTCTGAGGCTTCCCTGTTAGCTATTGAGCTTTTCTGAGTTTGGTGCCAGAGGGACCTGGGGGCACAGCTCGTCCTGCACACGCTTGGTTGTGACTCTTGTGTCCCAAGGGCTGACACAGTGTTGTCAGACCCTGCCCTGCCAAGTGTTCAGTTCACTGTACTGCAGTGGTTGAGTTGATTAAAACCAGTGCAAACTCCCTCTATCTTTTTCTTCAAGAAAGGATGGAATAATAAACCCATTTAAACCAAATATGACTAGAGATTGTCCTTGCTGTAGCTGAGGACATCCACCTGCATCCCAATATTTCAATTACTGCTGCCTTCTGGGGATAAGGAATCTCTGCTATGATTCTGGGTTGCAGATCAAGGTAAGCTGTGTGGTTGCTATAGCAACCCAGAGCTTCCTGTGCATCACAGCATTTGGGAACACGGTTTAGGAGACAGCAGCAGCAGTGTTAGCTTTAGCATTTCTCTCTTATTTCCTCTTTCTTCTTTTTTTAAAATAGGACAAGAAAGACCTGTATGAGCCTGTCTGCAGCATCCCTATTATCACCTCTCCGAAGGAAGAAGAGAGACTGATAGAGTCATCAATGAAAGTAACTGCTCCTAAGCACTATGAATTTATGCTAAGTGTATTCAAACACAGAACTTACCTTTTCTACTTTTCTCTCTCCCAACAGCCTGTTGTTAAGCTGCTTTATAATAGGAGCAACAATAAATACTCCTACACCAGGTATGTCTGGTTTTTTTCCTGCTATATTGGGAAAGTTTCCCTTTGACTGTGGGAGTGGAGGAAGATGATGGATGACCTAACTTGGCTGGTTGTGGGTTGGTTGGGTTGGGTTTGGTTGGGTTTTTTGCTTACAGCAGTGTTCTTCCAGCGCACCCTGACTCTTTTGCTGTGATCAAACCAGAGAACTGCAGTGAGGCTGGGCTTTGATCACCTCGAGTGTCAGTCAGGAGAGTTGTGAATAGTTGATGTAACTGTTTAGGACATTGTGCTGTTGTTATTAATTATATAGCTTGACCTCTAAAGGCTGATGTGTTTGCTTACAGGGGTCAGAGCAGTGTATTTGTATCTGAAATGGGCTGTTACCCCTCTTTTCTTGGCAGCATATGACAGTGAGTCACTACTTATTTGCATTCTGCAGTTAGATCATGCTTACAGCTGGGGAAGCAGCATATAAAATGAGCAGAGATGGCCAGTTGAGAAATCCCCTTCGTGCTTTTGGTGCTGTGTTTCAGTAACTCAGATGACAACCTGCTGAAGAACATCGAGCTGTTCGACAAGCTCTCTCTGCGGTTCAACGGCAGAGTCCTGTTCATCAAGGACGTGATAGGGGACGAGATCTGCTGCTGGTCCTTCTACGGGCAGGGCCGCAAGCTGGCCGAGGTCTGCTGCACCTCCATCGTGTACGCCACGGAGAAGAAGCAAACCAAGGTAATGGAGCTTCACCCACCTGTCTGGTACGGGTTTGAAATCACGGAATCCCAGAAAAACAGAATATTCTGAGTTGGGAGGGACCCACAAAGATCATCAAGTCCAGCTCTTAAGTGAGTGGCTAGCATGGTGAATCTACAGAATTTCCCTAAATTTAGGAGTTAACTTCTGATGTCTAGTAGTGCAGGCAAGGTGACCAGGGTTCAGCATTAGGAATCAGAGATACTGTTTTCCTTTCTAGAACAATCTAAAAGAAGAGCTGAGGGAAGTTGCCTGGTGGTGGGAGTAATCCTCTACCAGGGGTTAGTCTGCTTTGTTCATTTCTGTTTCCCCCTCTCTGTAACATTTGTCTCTTCACATGCGGGTTTGTGTTCCAGTCACATCAGCCTGTGCTGTCTGTTGTAGGTTGAATTCCCTGAGGCACGAATTTATGAGGAAACACTAAATGTGTTACTGTATGAAACCCCACGGGTTCCTGATAACTCCCTGCTGGAAGCCACGAGCCGGAGCCGGAGCCAGGCGTCGCACAGCGAGGATGACGAGGGGTTCGAGCTGCGCGACCGAGTGCGCCGGATCCACGTGAAGAGATACAGCACCTACGACGACCGCCAGCTCGGCCACTAGTGCTGAGCCAGGCTGGGGTCGGTGTGCTGGCAGGATCAGGCGGTAGGGAGGGATCCCCTGGGCTCTGGGGATTGATCTTCGTTTGGCATCTTGGCTCCCTGGACAAGCAAATGGGCATTTTGCGCACAAAGCAATACTAAAGGCTTGGACAACTGAGGTGTGAGTTCTGCACCACGTGCTTTACCTACGGACCGGCCCCTCTTCCTGCCAGGGGAGGGGTGAGATTTATAACACTGGTTCTCAGTTTGGGGTTGCTTTCTCTGTAACAACTTGCCGGTTTCCCTTTCCTGTGAGCGGTGAGGTGGTGTGGTTGGGAAAGCTTTTTCCAGACACCTGCCTGTTCAGGGTCTTGCATAATGGAACGTGCAGGCTTAAATCAAGATACTGGAGAGAGGACCTGAACGTGGCTACTCTTGGCAGACACTACATGTGATAACCCTGGGGAGAAATGGTTGTCTGGCCAGTCAGCTGCCAGCAGTCAGGTGCACTGCACGAGTGCTTTCTCCCACCCCTTTCCTCAGTACACCTGCAAAGGTTTGTGTTCCAGGACAGCACCCTTTAAAAGTCATCGAGTCCAAGGCAAGCTCTCCCAAAGTGGCAAGAGCCAAGTCATCAAACAACCTCCCCTTGTGAAAAATGAGAAGTCTTTGAAAATTGAAGTATGTATGTAATGACTTGTCCTGGGAGATGGAGAGATGGGTATGGAGAGGGAAGAAACTTCAAGTAAGCAAACTTGAGCAGATTGTGGCAGGGTTGCCCTTGTTTAGGCTTGTGACAGTGAAATCCTGTTTGTATAAACAAGGACAATCCATGGAATTGCTTTTACATTAGTTACCTCCTGTAGCGGGGGAAAAATTGCAGTGGCTGGTGAGGTACAGACTAAACAGTGTTTTATAAGGCTACATCGTGTGAATTCAAGTTCTGTGTTTTAAATTCCTTTTAGACCATAGAACTTGAAGTGGAAAGAGAAGAACAGCCTTAAAAATCTTGTTCTAGCATGAAACTGCAAGGGGCCTTGGGCACAGGAGAGAGGTGGCTTATACTGTATTTTAAACTGAAATAATCACTTTTATCCTGAGTGCTTGGCTGGGTGCTAATTGTACAGGGCACTTGAGGAGGTTTGAGTCAAGTCTACTCTGCAAATTGGGTCTCTGGGAACAGCTTCAAGTTTAGTATGCAAAGCTATTACTGTATTTTTAAATGTTTGCTTGTATGTTTGAGCTCCAGGTTGCATAGTCCAGTTTTACCACTGTCATTAATGGTTATTCCTGCTGGCTGTCCACTGGCAGCAATGGATATGTTGGATATGCTGCTTTTGTGTTCCAGTATTGTACTTGGTTGTGGAAGCTCCAGATCCCACGAGGGTTGGTGCTGAACTGCTTTGACCAGGGCCGAATCTACCTGTAAGATTTCAAGAAAAGTACTGCAAAAGCCTACAAGAAAATAATCTCAAATTAATACAGTGAGGTCATAAGTAGAATTGAGGTGTAGGTGGTTTGGGAGTACTGGAAGCAGGAGAGAGAACAAAAAGATTCTTTACACCCATTTAGGTTTTTGAAAACAGAGTTGCTGGGGGTTAATAAGAAAACAGTAATGGCTATAAACTTTCAGGATTTTCTTGCCTGGCCAGGCCTCTACACGTGGCAGGATTCACTTCATTCTCCTCACATTCAGGAAGCAGCACTGCACAGAGATGCACCTGCCTTGTTGTGAAAGGCCTCTTGAAAACTCTTAATAACCTCTTCTCTTTTATATTGCTCTCTGTAAGTTTTTGTTTTCCAGCTGTTATTCTGTTGTGCCAGGGAAAATACAGCTGCTGAGGTTAGTTTTGACAAAGATTTTTGTGGTATTTCTCTCTAATTCTGCTAGAGTGTGATGTGGATTTTTACAATTTTTTCCCTCCACTGATGCTATTTAATTTGAAGCCACCAGCAGAGGCTGCAGTGATAGAATCTTTGCACTTAATGGGTTAGCTTTATTCTCTTGTGCTTTTTCCATCTTGTAACAAAGGCTGCTGCCGTTTAAAATCCATGTGTGGCACTTGTGTCTTGGAAAATTATTTGTATTATTTTTTTCTTGCTACTATCATAGTGAATGTTAATAGATTGAGTGATGCTGGTAGCCTTGCAAAACTGTGTTAAAAAAGTTATAAGCATAAAAATGTCATATTTGCATTTATTTTCTCTGGGGAGGACAGGTATGGGAAGGAGTGTGTGAAGAAGAATGAGCGTCAGATCCAGGTGCTACTCCAGAGGCTTTCTGTACTCCCAGGAGTCATTAATGAAATGGATCCAACATGTGAATTATTACACTGTAAGAAGCAGAGAAAAGCTTGTGTTTTGGTTTAGTTGGTTTTCTGTCCCTGTCTCCCAGAGCAAACAATTAGTATTAATCTTCTACCAAGTGCAAAGGAACTTCTTGATGTTTATGGAATATGGAATATCAGTAAGAAGTGTCAGCAGTTATGAATGTGTTTAAAAATGTGCAGATATCCTTTTCATTTCACTGTAGTTTCTCTTGGGAGTCCTGCTTGTCTGGAACTGCTCCAGCACAGGGTGTTATTGAATGTCCTTGCACCAAAATCATGGCCTGGGGATGTGGTGTCTCTGACCAGCAGGTTCTGATAATTTTGTGATGTAACACATGCTCTGTATTCTCATCTTAATCAGCCTTTATGTGATTAAAGGCTGTGAATTATTTTGAGAGGAACATTCTAGTCGTTCTAGGACATGCTTTTATGGCCTGGTGTAAAGGAGAAGCAGCAGCACTGAGCAGGATGATGCAGTTTAGAGTCAGCATTGGTGGGTTTGCAGGGAGCTCCACACTGCTCGAGGGAGCGATGGCTGTGCTGCCTGAGGGTCCTCTCTGCTGGCTCTAAATAGACAGATAAGGACAGTTCTGGTTTCTGATTTATGTGTTTGTCTGCAAGCTGAGACTTGTAGTGGCTTCCCATATAGACCATCACCAATAGGTGTGTTAAGGAGGTGCCTGGGAATTTGGGGGTAGCCTTTGGGAGGAAGGAGAGGCCTTTTTGCCTCATTTGTGGGGTGTGAATTCTGACTACATTAGCTGGCATTCTTCCAGGACTCGCTGTCCTCTTTGCTCCTGAATTTAAGCAAACCTTTGAGCATTCAGGCAGACTGAGGGCATGAATGGAAACTGTTCCCTGCCATCCCTGCCCAAGCCTGTACTAAAGGCTGCTGTGCCAACAGCCTGGGTCCTCCTCCAGGGCAGGTGTCTCAGTGACTGACTGCTGGGGAACAGATATTCAGGATCAGTGTTAGAGGGGAGAGCTCTGCAGGCCAGCAGCTCCTGATGGATGCCGAGACAAAACTCACTGCTTAACCTTCACCTTGACATTTAGTTTTTGGGACAGCAAGAGATTTATCCTGCTATAATATTCCACTCCAGCAACTTTTATCTCGTGCACTTCTTGGTTAAAATAGAGAATAACTGGCTGGGACTGGAAGATGTTGCAGGGGCCTGAGAGCTGTATTTGAAATGGGCAGTACTTACTGTGGGTTTGGTTTGACTTTTTTTTTTTTTTTTTTTTCTTTCCCTTGGGAGGGTTTTAATTTTCAGACCCAATTCCCTCCAGGCAACACTGATGAACATACCTGAACTGGACGGGTCTGGCCCAGCAGGCCCTGCCTTACACAGTTAGATTGTGTCTTCTGACAATCCTTGGCATTCAACCTTCTCAGCCAAATTCCACCCCCGGCGCTCCGGGGAGAGCCGAGGTGTCTGTGGGAGGTGAGTGGGCACCAGTCCCGTTCCAGCTCTGTCACTCCCTCGGGCACACACAGCAGGATGTGTTTTCTGTATATGTGTTATTTCTTCTCATCTAATACAATGGTGAAAAGACCCTCCCCTACCTCAGAGGGATGTTGTATTAATTTGTTTAATAATAGTAAAGGATTCTTTGGGATTTCTATAATATTTTGTATCCAGAGGACAGCAAGTATGACTGCTGATCTTGTTTAAATTGACATTCTGCGATCAAGTTGTTTTCTTAAAGCATCAGTCTTTGTTTTATTTTTATGTCTAACTTTTTTAGGGTCTTACAGATAAATTACTTAGTTAATGCAGTAATTAATTAGGTGTTGATTTAAGTGTTTTATCAGTACATTAAATGGAAATGGAACACTAATTTTTAATAAAGTGTTATATTTTGTCTTCTGTGATTTGATCCCCACCTGTGATTTGGGATTCCTAAAGCACAAAGGTGCTGTGGTGGTACATGGATTTGGGATCACAGGGACACCTGTGTGTGTCCGGGTGCCCGGATCAGCTCCGGGCCGGGATTACAGGACAGTTATGGGGCCGTGGTGGATCCATGTCCCGGGGGACCGCTCCCGTTCCCTGGGCTATCTCTCCCATCCCGGATCTCTCTCCCATCCCAGGATCTCTCTCCCATTCCAGGATCTCTCTCCCATTCCAGGATCTCTCTCCCATTCCCGGATCTCTCTCCCATCCAGGCTCTCTCTCCCATCCCGGCTCTCTCTCCCATCCCGGATCTCTCTCCCATTCCAGGATCTCTCTCCCATTCCAGGATCTCTCCCCCATTCCAGGCTCTCTCTCCCATCCCGGATCTCTCTCCCATTCCAGGATATCTCTCCCATTCCAGGATCTCTCTCCCATTCCCGGCTCTCTCCCATTCCCGGATATCTCTCCCATTCCAGGATATCTCTCCCATCCCGGATCTCTCTCCCATCCCGGATCTCTCTCCCATTCCAGGATATCTCTCCCATTCCAGGATATCTCTCCCATCCCAGGCTCTCTCTCCCATCCCGGCCTCTCTCCCATCCCGGCCTCTCCCATCCGGATCTTCCATTCCGGATTCTCCCATTCCAGGATCTCTCTCCCATTCCAGGCTCTCTCTCCCATTCCAGGCTCTCTCTCCCATCCCAGGATCTCTCTCCCATTCCAGGCTCTCTCTCCCATCCCGGATCTCTCTCCCATCCCAGGATCTCTCTCCCATCCCGGATCTCTCTCCCATTCCAGGCTCTCTCTCCCATCCCAGGCTCTCTCTCCCATCCCGGATCTCTCCCCTCCCGATCCCCTCAGGCGGTCCCGCCCGCCCCTCAGCGCCCCCTCTCGGCCGTGCCGCGGCGCCGCCCCGGCGGTGACGTCAGGCCGGGTGAAGATGGCGGCGGGCGCCGGTCGGGAGCGCTGCCCGCGCTGAGACCGGAGCCGCCGCCATGAGCGGCTCGGCGGACGCCGCGAAGGAGAAGCTGCTGTGGAACGTGAAGAAGGAGGTGAGGGCGGGGGCGGTTCGGGGCTGCGCGGAGGGTCCCTGCAGGGAGCAGCCTCGGTGTCCGGGCGGGCGGCCGCGGCCGGTCCCCGCGGGAGGCGGTGGGGTCCGTGCGACCCTTCCCGGGCTGTCGCCGGGCCGGCGGCTCTGGCGGGACGGTCGGGGCGGTGCTGCCTCGGGAGCGCCTCGGGGGCTGTTCCCAGGCGCACCTGGGGAAGGGACGTGGCTCTCCAGCTGCGGCAGGAGGCTGCCTCCAACTCCTGCTCCCGGCTCCCTTCCCCGGAGGTTGCGTTCCCCGTAGTACTCGGTGTTTAGGACTTTTCCTTGGCTGTGAGCTCTGGAGGAGAGAGGGGAGAAATCTGCGGTAAAGAAAGGTGTTGCTGAGGTCGCCGTGGGGGAGCCCTGGTGGAGGTGCCGCTGTCTGGCGCCGGCACCCGCGCCCCGGGCAGGGGAACTCGGGTGGCGGCTCCTGCACCCGTGTGTGACACTGCCGGGCCGAGCCGGGCCGAGCCGAGCCGGGCCGGGCCGTGTGCAGGAACGGGGGCTGCTCACACTCGCCTTTGGGCTCCCTCGCAGCGTGCCCTCACGGGGTGCTCGGCAGGACGGACGGACGGACAGACAGAGCTGCAGCGATGGCACCGGGCGGGATGGCCCCTGCTGAGGGTCCCTGCCGAGTGCTGTGGGAGGAGGTGCCTGTGCTGTGCACACTCCTGGGACCGTGGGCACGGCTGTTCCAGCTGGGACTCCCCGGGGACAGCGGCCCCTCTCCCGGTGCACCCGGGAGCCGTACCCTGTGGCGCTGACCGTGCCACAGCTGTGTGGCTGCCTGTTCTTACACAGGAGTGAAGTGGAGGTTTATCCATCACGGCGATAGCAAGTATTTTGAACAGGTACCTGCCCTCCTGCTCCTTCCCCTCCCCGGGCACTGGGGAGACAGCAGCAGCAGCAGGGGAGCAGGATCGATCAAAGCTCAGCTGAAAAGTTGTTGCTATGGCCGAGGTTCCCGAGCCCGACTGCGGTGTCCCGATATTCGTTAGTGTTGAAACCAGAACACGTCAGGTGTCTCGGTCAGCGTGGGGAGAGTGGAAGGTTAGAGCAGGGACAGGCATGTATGATATGTATGCAGAGCAGCGGGACCATGTCCTGGACTGACCCAGCCAGCCCCTGGATGGGGGCTGCTCACCTGCTGAATGCAGCCATGAACCTGCCACTTGGATTAGAAATTTGAGCTTTAACTATGACTTTTGAGCCAAGACAGTGTAAGGTTTTATTTAGAAGTGAGTGTGCTTGCTCTCCTGGGTAATGTTTAAATATATAAATAAACCAGAAAAATGTTTTCCAAATCTGAAAATTACAATCTTGTGCTAATGTGCGAGATGGAAAGTGAAATGGATTTTTGAGATCCAAGCCAGCTCGAGCTGACAACAAGTGGTATGTAATTAAAAAATCTGAAGCTAATTTGTTTTTAAAGTCTCTAAAATGTTTTTAATTGGACCTTGGGTTTTAAATTACTTGAATAATGTTTGAAAGTGTTATTTGTACCTTCTGTGTCATCTGCTTTTTTGTTTTGTCATTGATCTGTTTTTTCCATCTCCAAATCCTTACAAATGCTCTTTTAGAACGTGTATAGTGGCTTGGCTTTTTGGGGTTGGCCAGAGCTTTCCAGCTTTGGTGTTTGTAAGCAGGTTGAGGTAACACCCCTCACCTGTGCCCTCACAATGTGTGGCCCCTGTCTGTGCTCACAGTAAGAAAATGGGCTCAGAAGGCAGTTGGAGACACTGAGATGGAGATTTTATTTGTCTTAAGTAATCAATTGATGGAGGCAGGAATTGAACACAAGTCACTTGTAACCACCCATCAGATGATGCTGCCCTTAATGACTGTAATTAACTTTTTCTGATAGAATTTTCAGCCTCATTTTTTATGCTGTGTGACTTTTCACACAGCCACTTCTGAGTGCTGTGTGCTGGTGGGCTTGCTGGGAAAACCTGACTCATCCATGGCCATTGTCAGAGCCATCGTTCCCTTCCCTTGGCCTTTAAATCCAGGCTCTACTTCCCATTAAATTATATTCCCATAACCTCAATATCCAAAGGAGTTCAGAGGCCACAGCTTCTTTCTGTGTGCTGTTCCACCAAGCCTGTTAAGATTCAGTTGTCTTTGCAAAATATGTAACTGTCGTCTCCAAAGTCACTCAGTGCAAAGTGTTCAGTTTGTTTTGCCTCACCCTCAGCTAAAACTTCTGTATTTTTCCTTTGGGAAATTTAATGCTGTTTGCTTTTCCTCAGATGGACTTTCAGTTCCCACTGGTAGGGAATGTATTTTGTTGGCTCTCACAGAAAGGAAGACATGTAATGTGTTTTGAAAATGTAACTCTGCTGGGATTCATGCTGAGGCTGCTTGGAAGTTCACGTTTCAAACATTTATCTCTCTCTGCAGGAAAATCTGTTGTGACAAGCAGAGTCATAAAACAGGCTTTTCTCTGGCCATTTCCTTCTGCCTCCTGAAATGGAGGGGTTTGACATTTCTGGATTTAAACACAGCACTTTCTGGCTGTGAAACAAACAGGATAACAATAACCTTAGCAGTTCCACGCTGCAAGATTTCAGAGTGCTTCAGAAACAAAATGTCTCAACGTGCAACTGCAATGCAACCACTTCTGAGCAGAAATACAGCAGTTATTGAACAGCTTCTCTTTGCACCAGCCAGTCCTTCCTCAGCAGTAAGGAGTCAGTGCAGCAGTGCTGTTGATAAAGGAGATAGATAAGCAGTAGCTGTACAAGCTGAAGAAGGCACAGGTGCTGGACATGAAGTTTTGCCCTTTGACGAGAAAACACTGTGGGCTTTAACTGTGGTCCTGGTTATTCCGGTACTTTTATGAGCACTATTCTTTGCCATTTATAAAGCTTCCTTGTAACAAAAATTAAAAAAAAGAAACATAAAGACATTTCTCTTGTGTACTTTTTTTTGGTGAAACTTACTAAATAATCCATGTTTTATGATGTAAGTCTGGTGTTTGGCTGCTTCTGAAAGTTTTGGCCATTGTAGGATGTGGGAGAAGGTCAGAGCAGTGATCCGTGAAAACATGGTGCAAAAGCTGAGCAGCTTGTCTCCAGGGAGCTTGCTGTGCTTTACCTGGGTAATGCTGCCACCAGGACCTTCCTTACTCCTCAAGTGCTGAGATCTTTACTCGGGTGGGCAGAGCTCTCCCTGCTCGGCAGCGGTTGGCAGGTGTGGTGCCCATGAAGTACCATTTCCAGGGAGAGCAGGGTGTCACTGAGGCTGATGTGGTTCCCTCTTGCTGCCTCTGGCTCATGGACAGACTGACCTGCACGTGCTGCCTCTGTGCTTGTGCCACCTGGCAGGTGCAGGTGACAGCCTGGTTACGGTGTGTGGCTCCTGTGCTGACTTGCAGGGGAGGCACAGGGAACAGGAGGGCTGTTTCTAAGGCAGTTGAGGGAGCTGGTGTCACACCTCAGCCCGAGCTCTCCCTCCCAGGTGCACGGGCTCCTCTCCAGGTTCTGGGACCAGCTCTGGCCCAGCTGGAGGCTGCAGCCCTCCCTCCATCCCTTGCACCAGCAGCAGGTCCATAGGCTTTCTGGATTTCCTTACCTGTGCGGGTGGATGATGTTTCTGTTAATGAGATTAGTTTGCAGTTTGGTCAGGTCTGCTGGTAACTGCCAGTGGGTGTGAGCGGAGGCTTGTGCTCAGAAGGCTCAATTGACAAGTGCCTCCCCAGAACAGAGGCACAGCAGTCCCTACAAAGCCAGGCAAAATTGCAAGGGAATAAAAGAAAAAAAAAAAAAGGCTTGTGTTCCATTTGATCAGAAACATTTGCTTTAGCTCCTTGCCTGGAGCGTCCATGAATTACGTGGCAGTGAGGGATGACGTGGGATTGAAGAACGCTGCATTCCAGCTTTTGAATCTTCT